AGGTCCTTTTCTGCAGAGCTGCTACTTGTTCTAATATCTCTATTTATTTACCTTTCTTTCATGAGTAAGGCAGAAATTCCACACCTTGGATACTCAAAACAAAACAGGGAATAGGACCAGAAAGCATAGGAGGAACTGTCATGAAGCAGGATAATATAACATTGACTTAGGGTTAAATAGGCAGAAATAGGGTTAAAACATCTCTCCCAATCAGCCATCCTAGCACTCTGGTAAACAGCATAGGGGGATTAGCAGGTGTTCTTGGCAAAAACTGAGGATGAGCTTCATTTGCTGTACACAACTCTTTCTTGCTTGCTTCCTTCCTTTTCTTTCTCACTATGTGAGAAGATGCCAGACCTGATAAAATGCTTTATTTTCCTCACTGAGGTTTAGCTGAAATCATGTTTAACTTAGACATTTTGCTGCTGAAGCAGGCTTTGTTTTACATTGAACTTTGACTGAGGTACTTAGGTTGGAGCCTTGAAGGGTCAGGGCATTGATAACAGTTACTTGTTTTACAAAAGGTGCACAACTCCCTGTTGCTGAAACCACCTCCTTTCCTCAAATGCTGTGTCTGCCATGTTACAAATGAAACCTCTTAAATACAATGCAAGATAATTGCCATTTAAAAATTGTTGCAACAAAGTGCCTTTGTGTTTTAAACAGCAGTATATTGTATACAAGATGGAAGAGAGGAGAAATTAATATTTATTGAATTTGATAAAGTGCCATTGTTAGTCCAATAATAAATTAAAGGGAAATTTTTGATCAGTCCTGCTCAGTTTATAGTACAGTACATTTATTTAATATTATCCTTGCTTACCAAATGATGTTATGATGATATGAATAACAGTAACTGTTATAGCGTAATCCCAAACCCATTCTTCCACAACCAAGGCAAACAGCAATCCACAAATAAAGTAGGTAATTTCCAATGAAACTAGAAGAACTGTAAATGAAAACAGAGTATTTATTAGTATAAACAAATGTTTTGGAAAGCTTGTTCCCATACATGTAATTAATAGAAATAGGTAGTTAAGCTTTCAAAGGTAAAATTGAGGGTAGATTATTTTTCAGCAAGGTCAAGTGGTCTGCTAATGTTTCCATTTAAAATTTGTTTTCAATTATTTACAGCTTGACCACAAAAAATTGCCTGAGGGGAACCTCATTGTGTATGTTGCATTACAGTGTAGATTGAAGAAAAGGGCCTAGGAGTAATAAGGCTGGTAACCAATGTCCTCTTTATAACCCAGACCAGGTACAACAAGGAAGTGAACTTATACTGTGGCAAAGGGACAAAATCTGGCCCACAGTGGACTCCATTTCCCAGCAGCCCCCGCCCATGTCACTGTGGCGAGTTGTCCTGGGGTGACAGAGAAGAGGAATTGGGAAGCCCCACCGGAGAGATGCAGCATGGAAAAAAATCATGAGATAAAGAAAGGAACACACAAAAAACACTTATCTGCAGAAAAAGCAAAACCGGAAGGACGAGAAGAGCCCGCATGATTCACAAGTCGCGCTTTTGTACGAGTAAAGCTGGCGGGTGATGTCACGGAGTTATGCTGACCAGCGGAGATAAAAGTGGCCACTGGCAGTGAGGCGGGAAGAGTGAGAGAGGAGGCAGAGTCTCTCTGTGCTGGCATTGGGCAAAGCTGGCATGAACAGGGAATGCCTGGGTGATAAGCAGCAGCAGGGGCAACAAGGCTCCCTCACACCAAGGGGACTGAGGCAGAACCCCAGGAGGGGAGGAATGTTGGGAGTGACTTTCCCCTCATGCCTCTGAAGAGGTTCAGCGACAGAGGTTCTGTGGCGGGCCAGTAGGGGGTGCTCCTGCGTTGAGCCACCCACCTCACTGCATCCAACCACCTTCTGGCTTTAAGTGGGGGGGCCTCACGTCTGGCCGCCCCCCTTCTTGGAGCACACCCACTAGCCTGGCGGTTTCACTGCCACCACCCAGTGCTGGGCTTGATTCTTGCTCTGTGCACCCTGGGAAAAACAGGCCTAGTAGCCCTCGAGGGTACTTGATTCACTTCAAGAACTTGGGATGCTTCCCTCAGTCAGAAGCACACATAGTGGTCTCCCTTAGTCAGCCAAATCAAGGGGACCCCAAGGCATAATCTAGACCCACTCCCAATAAGTCTCCCACACTAGGTACAAAGGAGAACTTTATTGGTTACAAGGGGTAGGGTTAGAATAGGGTACAGGGTAGAGCAATATCAGAGAAATCCCATAGATCAAACTCCCATGGCTGGGTAGCCTTTGATCACACATCTGTGTTACTGCAAGCTATATATCTAGTTAGATCTCAGGTAGCTTACTCACAAGTATCATCCAGAGGCAGGTGGAGATTCCCTCTGGAGGCAGGCAGTTCCTTGATCATGAGTTTTGAGAGAGAGAGCAAGTTTAAGATGGTTCAGCTCTTCTCTCTCTCTGAGTCTTCCTCATGGCTGCTGCCCCCTCCCCTTGGGCAGTCCTTATATAGTTACCTCATGTACCTTGTGACCTCATTTACTTAGTCCAGTGGAGGCCAGCACCTGTTGGCTGACAGCCAACCAATTTGAAATGCATCACTAGTTGCTGGGCAAACTGGCAGTTCCTAGCTCTCCAGGGACCAAGCCCCTCACCCAGGTATGTGACACCAATCACGTAGGCAGAGGAAGCAGGTTTCCCACCTCCCCCAGCAATGTATCCAACTCAGGTAAAGAGATAGGGTAACGTGCGTATCCTCTGCTGGGCCCATCCTAACCAAATTGTCACAGAGCAGAGTTTTGGGGGAGAAACAGAAGTGGCCTTCTGGCACAGGTTCCAAACAATGCAGCGTCCAGTGTGGTGACCCAGAAGAACAGGTTGAGAACTATCTCAAGGAAGCTAAAGGGTTTTTACCCAAACACTCTCAGGTACCGGGTTAGGGAGCTGGGCTGGGAGTGCAAAGGGGAGATAGACCCTGCAGGACCAGCATCAGGGGAGTACTGCCAAGCATAGGCAGGAGTGCGGGAAGAACGAACTGGTAGGACACCGGACAGGAAGACCCTTTTGGGGTTCTCTTTTTTCTTTCTTTTCTTCATTTCATTTCAAATCATCGGGCCCAGATGCTCTCCACCCCAGGGTGTTGAGGGAGCTAGCTGTGGTTATTGCAGGGCCCTTGGCATGGCTTTATGAGCACTCATGGTGCTCGGGCCAGGTGCCAGATGTTTGGAAGATAGCTAACGTGGTCCCCATCTTCAAAAAAAGGAAGAGAGAGGACCCAGGCAAATATAGGCCCATCAGTCTTACCTCAATCCTAGGGAAAATCTTTGAGAAGATCCTCAAGGAGCACATCTGTGATGGGCCGGCTTCAGGGATGATGCTCAAGGGCAACTAGCACGGTTTCATTAGGGGCAGGTCATGTCAGACCAACCTGATTGCCTTTTATGATCAGGTCACAAAGGCAATGGATGCAGGTGTCGCCGTGGACGTAGTCTTTCTAGACTTCAGCAAGG